CCTATCTCTAGCTACTCCCGAGTCATCGACCAACAACGACTTCATCGCGTCCGTGAAACGAACTAAGTAGTTCATTCGCTACTTTCCATTTTTCATTTCTACTGTTGTCTGCTTTATTAATTTCTTCCGTTATTCTCAGTATAATTAAGATTTTTTAATTAAGATTTTTTGTTCTAGGTAACTCCCGTGCCGCCACAGAAGGACGACCACTCATATTCTCATCCGAACGAAGCCTGGCAACAGCAGAGTACGTTGGCCGATCTGCAGGATTACTTTCAAACGAGGGCCTCTTGCTATTGAGCTTATCCGTGAGTACTTTTACAGACTGCCTCAACATCCTATTTTCCTCTTTGAGTTTAATTTAATTTTAAATTTCCTCTCTGAGCTCCTGATAGTGGACTCCTTGTATAGCTTCCTTGTTCCTAACTTCTTTCCTGGAGACAATTTCCTCGATTGCTCCTTTCGCGGACCAGAGGTTGACCTTCATCACCTTGCTAACCGGGTCCTGCAAGGAGCTAGATTTTCTCCTGCAATTCTCTGAGCCATTCAACAACCTGATTTCCGACATCAGCTACGCTAAGAAATTTTATCATATTCTTTCTATCCTCAATTTCCAATTTCTGGCCTATAGTTAGACGATCTCTCTCTTTATTTTTAGAAGAGGAGCCCAACCTTCTTTTCTTGGATCTACCCGCCGAGTAAGCAGGACTCTCCCCAAAATTAGCAGAGGAGATTCCATGCCTGCATAGGAATAAGAGACAAAGCTTACATCGTCATCCGACTCGATCAGACTAATTACTTCGTCGATTTGCCCGTCCAGATCCTTGCTGCATCCAGATAAGTTACCACTGTCTCTATCTTTGCTACGGGAAATACCTTCCATTGGATAGTCAACATATTCTTGCGATCTATCTACATTCGCAATTCTAGGATCTGGGAACCTTACCGGATCCGCCTCCGTATTGCTAGGGGTCTCCTTGGGATAGGAATCACCCCTGCCAAATGTCTGGTCACTCAACTGACCAGATGTTTCAATGCCTACCTGCCCTACGCCAGTTAACGACGACCTACTGGAGGCAGGGACTCGACCTCCAGCGCCACGACCCTCCTGCTTTCCTATTGCAGGAGGGGTCCCGTTATTCGATGACGACCGCACAGAGAGCGGGTTCTCCCCACGAGGCCGCCCCACTACCATCCGAGAAGCAGCGGGGGGTGATTTATCCGTTTTCCTGTGCATAACCATTTATTTAAATTGATTTTTTAACAGGAGTAGTCCTCTCCTGTCCCGCCATTGTTATGATGGAGTGGGAAGTTCCAGCATAGTCATCAACGTGTATCCATCCAGTAAATATAGATAATATCCTCCATCCCACGATGTCACAATGAGGACGAAGATCACGATGTTCCAATCGTCAAGAAGTAATCACTCAGGTAAGTAGTTTTTAAAGTACTTAATAAATTCAGATCATATCATATCCTGCTTTCTATATATTACAACAACGTTGCTGTTTAGCCAAAAAGTATAATTAACAGAATATAACTATCTATTTATAGATCTATTATTATAAGAAAGGGGATAGCTCAACTTGTAAGCAGGGTTCACCTCTGCTACTCCCTTGATACGCAGCAAATTACCACTTCAAGTAGTTCTCAGAACTTAATGTACAACAGAAAGGGATAAAAAACTACCTACGCTGACCTCAAAACCAAGTCCCTGCGAAAAAGCGTGCCTGGAGAGTAATCTGCCAGGACTACAGAAACTGGTAGAGGTATGTGTTCAAAAGAACAAATAATAATGTATTCTATTTATAGGTCCGCCAATTAAAGCATTGTTACTCAACAGAGTAATTATCTAACGCTCCTAATCATGTTAATAATATAATATGATATGACATCGTTGTTAATAATATAATAATCAAAATTAATAATATAATACAATAACAAATAAAATAATATAACAAGGTATAAGAAAAAGAAAGAAAAAATGACTTTAAACATTGTGATAATATAGGTAACAACTCTAAATAAAGTATAATGAAAGAGAATATCCTTATGTAGAAAATATTTAGCACTACATTAATATAATAAAGAAATAAATGAATGTAATATGAATATAAATAAAAGATCAATAAATCAACAATACACTGAATAAACTAAATTAAACTAACTAAAGATGTATAACAAAAGAAAAATAAATAAATAAATAAGTAAGTAAATGCTACACTTATATATACAGAAATAAAATAAAGTATTAGCAGTGAGGCGCAAGGAAAATATAGTAAGATCTTGCAGTATAAATAAAGCAGCCAAACTAAATAATATAACGCAAGCAAACGATATAAATTAAAAGCAATTACGAATAATAAATTAAACTATATGTACATGTATATGTGTTAATGACTTAAGTAATACGAATCAACATGATTAGAGTACATCTCCTATCTCATAATTACACGTGTCCAAGAGCTATTTACTCTAATACAAATTCATCGCCAAAACTATTCTATGTTCCATCCGATGCAAATACAGCAAAATAAACTGGATTGTTAAAATAATTTAGAGTGTGACTATTCATTCTCAAATGTTTCCCAACAATTTTACTGTTTCCAGGCGTAATATCCCGGCCCCATGAGAAAGAGCAAGGAAACGACTAGAGAATAACTTAATAACGTCGAGGGATATTACATTTTATTTGTGAGTATCATACATATCCTGTGGTAGCTCGTATGTCACATAAAATTAAGTATTAAGTTCCGAGTGAAGATATTGCATAGACTATATTATACGCAGTTATTTCTAAATTTTCAAATATTCGTGAGTAATAGGCCTGACTATAGACTATTTTTAGTTAACAGGTATTGCTTAATTAATAAGTATATAAGGCTTAATCAACATATACGGCGTTAATGTCTGATAGTAATAATTATTTACAAGAACTTGACTTTACAACAGGTCATTTGTATCTTATATTGCAGAATTAAGGGCACAGTCACTACCCCTGTCAAGGAGGGAGGCAGACGCCGGGCAAATCAACTCTAATTATTCTCAAAATATGTCAATTATTATAGAAGAGGTATTACAATAATGCTAAGGCATGTAAAGTTTATCCCAATAAATAAACTTAATTAAACGTCACAGTATTAGAGCAAATATGTTTCTTCCCACAAGAAAATCCACAAAGATTTCACTTGAAACAAAGCCAAGATAATTAAAGTAAAGAAAGATCGACAAGGCCAAAAGAATCGGTAAACAATATTACTCAAAAAACAACATCACACAAAATAAACATAAAGATTTCGTAAGAACTTTCATGACGTACGCAAAAGTCTTCTCAAGAGTAAAAACATAATAGTAGAGCCATAATTCTTGATAATTAGTATCGATTAAACGAAAGAATGACATAGCAGTCAATACATAATGTAATGAGATTCCATCCACATTTCAAAAGTATATCCAATCTAGTCCAGTATGTCTGAATTATGTTTAACAAAACTGAAGAAACGGAAATTTGTGCTTAGGTAGCACAAATGCCATTTGTAGCGCGTGTAACTCAACAGACTCAATCTTTTTAGTAGACTAAGATGCGTCAAACAAAAACGCGTGTAACTCAACAGACTCAATCTTTTTAGTAGACTAAGATGCGTCAAACAAAAACAATACATCAGTCGATTCATCGATATAGCAAGCATCAATGTGTGTTTCGCAAAAAACGCGTACACTCTAATCCAGACTAGCCAAAATCTGTAATTACATAGTTAATTACATAGTTTGACAATGGAAAAATCTATATTAAATCTATCTATACTATAAATAATACTATAAAAGGCAGCCAGCGTAGACTCGTGTCCGCAATTTCGTAATTAAATTACCAATGTATACCTCGTTCAGCTCATCACGAGCAATCTAGAGACCGCACAAATAATTAACGCGTCTGCCACAATTGATAATTATGTGTTCTGTACGTTCAATACAATTCATCTGCCCACATACCGAATTACAATCATTGTGTCGATACACGAAGCGATTCTCGTATTAGTTGAGATTAGAATAATAGTATTAATACTAATGAAACGAGCCACAAAGTTATATAAATACAAGTGAATCGACTGTATGCAGAGTATTCAAAATTAAAGCTAAACTAAAAATTACAGTAGTTAATCTAATCCTCTAATAATAACTATACAAGAAATAAAGAGAAATATATTCTAATTCAGACGCAAAAAATAATTAATTAGTCAGTAAAAATGTTTACAAAATCGATTCGTAGGTTATCCATCGAAAGTAATGTAAAGCTTGAGTTTCCGCGCATAAAAACCAAACTGTGACATATCAGTAACAGTTATTATGTAATACTGGTTACATCGATTGTTCAGATAATGAAGAGTTTCTTGACGCGGTCCATACAAGTGCCCAGACGCCAAAAATTCACAGCTTGGCGTCGATAAATGCGCCAACAGGAAACTATCGGTTAATTCCAGGATAACATAAAGCTCAGTGAGCGTTAAATACGCTGATTCACTTTTCTAAAAGGGGAGAAAGAAAATAAATATATATAAATATTAAAGACGCACATATAGTTCTCATCACAGATGAGAAAGTACATTAACAAGGATGTGCCGCTTTTACGGGATAGCATCCTAACATTTAGAGAAACATGTATGATGACTATAAATTAAAAACTATAAGTATAGGACATTAATAAATTCAAAAATAGTAAATGTGCCATATCTAGTAAAAGTAGTTGATAAGTAAAATATAATGTATAGTTATTTACCTCGTGATTGTAAATAATATCAAGAAACATAGAGGTATAATAACCTCAATTATCAAGTCATCAAATGGAGACAATAACAATACAGCACAAGATTCACAGGACAGCCTGCAAAAATACACATACTTATACATATTACATACTTATACATAATTAAATTGTACTTAACATAACTAAATTGTTTTGTAAGAAGCTTTAATATTACTAAAATGTGGAGAAATTAAAAAAGAATAATATACCAAGTACTATCAGGTTATAACTGCTCAGTGTTGCCACCTATTCATAGCAAGGAGCACAAAGTGTACACCTCGTGCATTTGACCATCCAGGAGATGGCTCCCTCACAATCAAGTCAAAGATATGGAATATATAATTTGATAAACTATAAAATGCTTAATCAAAAGATCAGAATCTTATAAAAATATACTGATAGATACATAAAATAGATATAAAAGTATAAATTATAAATCAAGAATCGTAGTGTGATGGAAGTACAATCAAAACGTGAAATACGACACAAGGGTTACATACATATGAAATAATTTAAATAAACTAATATAATTTCGCAAGTCAGATCATACTGAAATTAATAAATTAATGGAAACTTAAATATATATAAAGAAGCACAGTAAATAATAATAACAGAATAAAGATACTATCATTAAACTAAGGAAATAATCCTGTGTAGCTTGCGAATTTACAATAGTACATGGTACATGGTGAATCAGCGTAGCAATAGATATTGAAATATTACATTCAATCAAAAGAAAATCAATAATCATATTCGTGGTATTATAATAAGGCAATTAGAGTGCATATGTTTTAAAAGTTCATTAATTTTTCTGTGTGACAAGCAAAGATTTATGTTGACTAACTAAGATGCTTAAAGAGCATATAGACTCGATAATTTGACACACATACAGCAAATCAATCTATATTGTCAAGTGAATAAATTGGGAATCAAAACGATACTGTCAAAAATTTTCACGTCTCCAGATTCAGA